TAGGGATGCAGCTAGTTCTGGAGTACAAGTCTTCAGCACCGTTGCAAGCATAGTTTTTGGAGCATCCAGTACCTTTGGCAATTTTTTTAATATGACATAAAAATTAATCAAATTAACTGACAGCTGCCTTCTGTGACATTGGGGTCTTTAGCATGAGGCTAAGATGGTTTGTTCACTTTGCACTTTTCACTGCAGGTGTTTGCAAGATGCTTCAGCTGTGTTTTTGCACTAATTTGCAGGCTCCCCAATATTAATGGTGGGGATATTTGTGGAGTTTCCTCTTATTTTTAACTGTTTAACTGTCCATCCCCATTCATTGCTGGTGTGGCAGAACTACACAGTGTTTTGATCTGATCTGTTGGTTGTCAGATGACTAAACTCTGATTATTTCATGTTCCTTCCACTGCTTGGCATGCAAGTAGTTCAGCACAATTGTTTCACCAGGTTGACCCCTCACTTTTAGGTATACTTGGCACTGTTCTTGCCATGCCTTACTCTTCACTGAATCAGACTTCATTTTAATGGCAAGAGTGGAGGATGTGTCAGTTGATGAGGATACACATTGTGGTCAAATACCATTTTGTTGCTGCAGATGGCCAACAGCACCTCATGGATGCCCAGTTTTGAATTGCTAGATCTGTTTGAAATCTAAACAATAGAAACCAAAGAACTGTGGATGATGGAAATCTGAAACAAAAACAGACATTGTTGGAGAATCTTAGCAGGTCTGGCAAAATCTGTGGAGAGAAAGCAGAGTTAACGTTTCCGGCTTGAAATAACTCCACAGAGGCCAGTATCCTGTTACCAAGTCACCCTTTATTTACACATGGAGAGTCCTTGACACTGATCCAGCTCCAGGGCCAGATCTCAGAGTGAAAGGATGTCTGACACGCTTGTTCTTATCTGTCAGGCAGGAATCCCTGAATGGGGCTGTTAATCTGGTCCAATCAGGGAATTCATATTCTAAGAGGTCCATCTGACTGAACTTATTACAATCACTACATCCTTCTTACTCTGAGTCCAAGGATATAGGCCGGGTTTTTTTTGTAGTTCCTGGGGTGTTTTAGCACCAAGTCAGATTCCTTCAACTTTGCCTCTCATATGGGCGCTGTGTTTCAGCGTAGTTCGCCTCTCAAGCCTACACACAGTTTAGGAGAAAATTTCTTCTGCAGCAAAGGCATCCGCCATGTCCACTACGGATTCTGCTTGACAGACAGAGAGAGCCCACGTGTTCCAAACAGTTGAAAAAGCTGTCGAGGAGCCGGGCACATTTTACTCCGGCACCATTTGCAAGTTTGCAGCTTTCATATAGTCCGCAATTCCCAAACTTGACCGGACCTGACCTCGCTTCAACCATGCCTCCTTCCTATGTAAGGCTATTCCCATGGTTCCTACAAACTTCATCCCCTGAAGTAAACTACACCTTTCGCTTAGCAGATTCTTGTGTCCAGCATTGGCGTTCCTGATGCCATTTCACCCTCTCCTCCAGGTCCAGGAAAATCAGATTTAACCTGGTGCGGAGTTTTCTCTCCATTACCAACTCTGCTGAAGCTATCCATACAATTGCATGAGGCGTCATTCTATAATCAAATAAGAACCAGCTCAGTTTGTTATCCAGTGAAGCTATAGGCTGTTGCTTTAAGGCTGCCTTCAAAGTATGGACTGCACTTTCTGCCAGACCATTGGACAATGGATGGTATAGAGCTGTCCTTATGTATCAAACACTATTCAACTTTAGGAAATACTCAAATTCCCTGCTGGTAAACGATGGCCCGGTATCTGTGACCAACACTTCTGGGAGTGTTGCAAAACATATGCAGTTTTCCTATCATTGTCCCCATGTTTGAAAATTGAACTCTATGCACGTCCAGCCACTTTGAGTGGCTGTCTACAGTGACAAAGAACATTGAGTCCATGAAAGGACTTGCATAACAGACATGTAACTGAGTCCAAGGTTTACCTGTCCACTCCCATGAATGTGGGGGAGATGCTGGAGGTAATTTTTGTTGGCAGTCTTGGCACTGCCCCATCAATGTGGCTATGTCTGCATCCAATCCTGGCCACCTGGTGGAGTTCAGCTAGTTTCTGGCGCTGTCCTTAGCTCAAGGCAATCACTCTTGCTTCCCAAAATAATATGCCGTCCTCCCCTACGATCTGGTTGCTCCAGTCCAAAAAGGTTTCAAATCTGATAGTGACAGCTGTTTGGTGCCCCTCATCACCTCCAGCTGTTTCAGTTTTGCCAGGACCAGGTCGTTCAGCATCCAAGTATGATATTGTCAGCTGTGACTGGAATTGTGTCCAGAAAATTTAAAACCATTTTGGACTCTTCCAGTAGCAGTAACAACAGTGGTGTCTATGCCAGTGGGAGGTGGGTTCAATGCATCCATATTTGCTACATGGATGGTGTTCCAACTCATAATTATATGCACTTCGCATTACAGCCCATCACTGAATTCAGTCTGAAGCAATGGGCAGCACTGCCTTGTCCTCTTTAAGCAGACCTAGCAGGGGTTTGTGATCCGTTATTATTACAAATTTATGTCCATAAAAGGTATTGGTGGAACTTCCTGACTCTAAATATGACTGCCAAACTTTCCTTTTCTATTTGGGCATATTTGGCTCATGCAGAGTGTAAAGCCCTGGATGCACAAGCTATTGGGCGTTCCTCTCCATTGGGCCACCTATGAGCTAATACTACCCTGATGCCGTACAGGGAGGCATTGCATGTCAACACCAGATCTCGCTTGGGATCATTGTGTGTCGACACCTTAGAGGATGACAGCTGTTCCTTCACTTCCCTGAAAGCTATGGCTTGGCTACATGGCCATTTCCAAGGCTGAGGCTTTTCTCAAGAGTTAGAGTTAATGAAAAAGGTGCTAGGATGGAGGCCAGGTTATGCATGTATTTTCCACGATAATTCACCAGCCCATGAAAAGACCAAGCTCTGGTACAGACATGGGAGCCGGGGCACCTTCGATTGCCCTCACTTTATCTTCCAACGGGTGTAACCCAGTCTTGTTAACTCTGTAGCCCAAGTAGGTTACGCCCACCTGGGAGAAATGTCTAAGGACTATGTCCAAGTTTTCGAAGTGCTCTTTCTTGGTCTTCTCTGTTATTAGGACATTATCTAGATAAATGGTGACCTGGGGTAGACCAAGTAATATGTTCTGCTGAAAAATTGCACAGGCTGCAATACCCCAGATGGTAGTCTCGTATATTGGTACACATCCTTGTAGGTATTAATTGTAGCATACTTCTGGGAATCCTCATCTAACTATAATTGCAAGTATGCATGTCTCATGTCTAGCTTCATGAAGGACAGGCCCCCCTGCCAGCTTTGCATATAAATCCTCTATGCGAGGGATTGGGTATCTATCCAGCTACAAAAAGCAGTTTACCTTTTAAAATTCCCACAAAGACAAACCAATCCATTGGGCTTCATAATCAGAGTGACCGGTGCTGCCCATTCCGCAAACTGGACTCGTTTGACGATTCCTTCACTTTCCTTCCTTCTGATTTTTGCCTCTACATTTGTATGTAAGGCAAATAGCACTGGGCAGGCCTTGTAGAACTGTGGAATTGTTTCCTGCTTAAAATGCAAGGGGGCCTTGGCTCCTTTGATTGTCCCTAAACCTTCCTGTAAAACTTCCAGGTATTTAGTTAGGACTTAATTCCAGCAGTCATTTTCTAATTGCGAAATATTGAGTCAATCCAGATGAATCTTTCTCAATCAATTTCATCCATCAAGCTTGGGCCCGAGTCTTTCACTACAATCTGTCATAACTGAACCAGCTACTTCTCATAAGAGACTGGAACTAAAGTTGTACCCTTAATCTATAAAGGTTCCCCAGTACAGGTTCTCAGTGTAGCCAAGGTCTTGCGCAAAGAGTTGGAGTCCACAGTGAATTTCGTTAAAGACTAATTCGGCAATCACTGAAACGACCAACCTCCATTAGAACTGGGTGACCATTTAAACAAAGTTTATTTTGATTAGTTCACATTTGGATATTGCTAAGTAGTTTATCTGTTCTAAACCAGATATGGGTGGACCTGTCAGGACCCGTGAGCAAATTTCTTCACGACTGTGCTTTTCTCTCCTCATCACTGAAGTAACTTCACAGTTGCTGGTATCTGGTCACCAAGTCACTCTTTATTTACACATGGAGCATCCCTAATACTGATCCAGCTCTTACAGAGTAGCAGAACCCCTGACACTCCTGTTTTTATCTGGTTAACCAAGGGTTTCTGACTGGGGAGCTCAATTGGCCCCAACCAGGGATCTCATATTCTATGAAGTCCACCTGACTGACCTTGTTACCCAATCACTGCAGGGTCCAGTGACATTTCAAAGGATTACTAAATCTGAAATGTTGACTCAGCTTTCTCTCCACGAATGCTGTCAGACCAGCTGAGTTTCTCCAGCAATTTCTGTTTCTGTTTGAAATCTAAAATGTTTAGCATGGTGGGAGTATACCAATAGAATGGGGAGATCCTCAATGTGAAGACAGGACCTTTTCTCCACGAGAACTGAGAGGTGATCACTCCTACCAATGCCGTCCAAACAGATGCATTGGCGTCAGCTAGGTTTTTCAGAAAAAGGTCAAGTATGTTTTCCCTTTATGTTGGTTTTCTCACCACCGGCACAGACTTAGTGTAGGAACTATGATCCTTTGGATTCAGCAAGTTCAGTCAGTTGTGGTACTACTGAGCCACACTCAGTGATTGACACTGAGGTCACACATCCAGAGTACATTCTGTGTCTTTATTACAGTGAACAACTTAAAAGCTTGAAATCTACCCATCCCATCCTTTCCATCAGTCACTGGACATTTAAAAACATTTTAAAAAGATATGAGTTTCAATGGGGATTGTAACAACCCAATCTTATAATCAGCTAGAGTGCTCACTCAAATTACTATCAGGCCCACGGCAGCATCCAAAGTCTGTCAGACTCAGTCACTTTAGATTGACTTTCAAAAAAAGAACGAAAGGACCTGTACCTTTCCTTGAGGTGTCAACTTCCAAACGACAGAAAAGGCTAGCTTGTCCTGCATTGGATTCAAGCTGCAGAGCTCTTCACAGAGAAGCCTAGGAAGCATTGGGATAACCTGTAATAGAACATAACCAAGAGAAAGTAAAGACAAGTTTAAATAATTAAGCATCCTACAAAAGATTTAACATTGCTATCAATGTTCATGTCTAACAACCAGAATTGTTACAGCTTGGGGGTGATTCAGCCCACTGTGTCTACATCAGCTGTCCAACAAACATCATGACGGTGCTATTCTCCTGCCTTTTCCTTAAACTTATACACTTTGTTTCTATTTAGATAATTATCTAATATCCTGTGAACTGCCTCAATGGACTCTGCGTCCACTACACTTCCAGATTGTGCATTCCAGACTTACTGAACCACTTGTGTGAAAAAACTTTTTTCTCACATTTGCATATCATTCTAAACTTGTGCCCTCTTGTTCCAAATCCTTTTGAGTGCAAACAGTTTCTCCCTACCTACCTTATCCAGACCTCTGGGATATTGAAAACATTTCATAACATTTAAAAACATTTTAAAAAGGTATGAGTTTCAATGGGGATTATAACAACCCAATCTTATAATCAGCTGGAGTGCTCACTCAAATTACTATCAGGCCCACGGTACCATCCAAAGTCTGTCAGACTCAGTCACTTTAGATTGACTTTCAAAAAAAGAACGAAACCTGTACCTTTCCTTGAGGTGTCAACTTCCAAACAACAGAAAAGGCGAGCTTGTCCTGCATTGTATTCATAGATCTAACCATAAAAAGTTGATCTCACTACATTTCATAGCATAGATTTATTTACAAGTGACAACTGATCTCTCTCGCCACTGCTCACTGAAAGGGTAAAAGAAATTGTATACCAATTGCTGAAACCCTAGTTTGCATTGCCTATTTGGCTTTCTTGCTGTGGGATATTATGTTTCTCTCATTGCTGACTCTAAATCCATCTATTTCTTGACTCTAGATCATTCTTTCTCCATAATTTCTGGAAAATATTGCATCTATTTAAATTTATACTATTTTGCAGTGATGAATTGCAGTTCCACTGGTAACAAGCTTTTGAACATTAACGGAAAGGTTTTCTGACAAATATGCACACTCATCACAAATGCTCAGTGGTTAGCACTACTGTGTCTCACAGCACCAGGGACCCGGGTTCGATTGCACCCTCGGGCGACTGTCTGTGTGGAGTTTGCACATTCTCCCCATGTCTGCGTGGGTTTCCTCCCACAGTCCAAAGATGTGCAGATTAGGTGAATTGGCCTTGCTAAAATTGCCCATAGCGTTCGGGGATGTGTAAATTGAGTGGGTTACAGGGGGATGGGTCTGGGGGGGATGCTCTGAGGTTCGGTGTGGACTTGTTGGGCCAAAGGGCCTGTTTCCATACTGTAGGGATTCTAACCGTCTCTCTTGTATTCATCCTTCCTAGATATTTTCCTCCCGGTTACATGGTTTGCTACAGTAGAGAAGCTTGTTTATTTTTAGTCTTTCTATGGGAGTAAAGTGGGCTGGTTAATTCAGTTAACTAGATGGCTAGCCTTTGGCACAGAAATAATGCGAACAGCACAGGTTCAATTCCTGGACTTAGTACCTGCCTCCTTGTCCTGCCTACTACAAAAAAAACTGTCAAGCATCAGAGATAGTAGGAACTGCAGATGCTGGAGAATCCGAGACAACAAGGTGCAGGGCTGGATGAACACAGCAGGCCAAGCAGCATCATAGGAGCAGAGAGGCTGACGTTTCGGGCCTAGACCCTTCATCAGAAAAGGGGGAGGGGAAGGGGGTTTTGAAATAAATAGGGAGAGAGTGGGAGGCGGATAGAAGAGGGATAGAGGAGAGGATAGGTGGAGAGGAAACAAACAGGTCGAAGAGGCGGGGATGGGGCCAGGAAAGGTGAGTGTAGGTAGGGAGTTAGGAAGGGGATAGGTCAGTCCAGGGAGGACGGACAGGTCAAGGGGGCGGGATGAGGTTGGTCGGTAGGAGATGGAGGTGCGGCTTGAGGTGGGAGGAGGGGATAGGTGGGAGGAAGAACAGGTTAGGGAGGCAGGGACGAGCTGGACTGGTTTTGGGATGCGGTGGGGGGAGGGGAGATTTTGAAACTTGTGAAATCCACATTGATACCATTGGGCTGCAGGGTTCCCAAGCGGAATATGAGTTGCTGTTCCTGCAACCTTCGGGTGGCATCGTTGTGGCACTGCAGGAGGCCCAGGATGGACATGTCGTCTGAGGAATGGGAGGGGGAGTTGAAATGGTTCGCGACTGGGAGGTGCAGTTGTTT